GTTAATACTACTACAATAGAACCTCCGTATCCGCGGGGGATTGGTTCTAAGACCTTCGGCAGATACCGAAATCCGCGGATTGTAGCGAACCCTATTAAACACATATGAACATTGTCGTGTAAACTCGGCTTCCGTAGGGAAAAATAGATACTTTGGAACATTGGTAAATTTATTAATAAATCGTTAAAATCAAATGAATTTGTTTCTAAAATTCAATGTCTGAGTAATGGAAACTGAAAGAATTATAGAATTTCGCTTTTTCTACAGAATTCGCTTTTTCCTATAGCAGACGCCAACTTTGCACAGCAGTGTATACATATACATACATACTCAATATTGTATACATGTACATACTGTAAATTCCTATGATAATATATTATTTGATTTTTATGCGGACTTATTAGAGATAGATGACTTGTAATACGTATATACAGAGTGGGGCAATAACTATGTCCACTTTGAATATTACCGTTATTTGTAATAATATGAAAAAATGTCATATACAAAACTTGCACGGTATAGAGGGGGGCATATTGTGACACAAACATTTTCTGCGTGGGTGAAGGCATAAAGGAGATTTCAAGGTCATCGCTAGAATAAGTTCAGAAACGATAAGACATGCACGTGATGCAGCGATACTTCGAGCATCTCCTGTAATATAAAACAGTTTATTTTACTGCCACATTTGTCCTTGTATGACCTTCAATGATAGCTCCCTGAAGTCGTCTCAACACCGGCTATCACATCGCAATAAGAAAAATATAGAATTCCATTTAAAAAAATAGAGATTAACTTGAAATCTCCTTTATGCCTTCATCAACGTAGAAAATGTTTGTGTCACAATATGCCCCCCTCTATACTGTGGGATTTTTAAAATAAGTGTGCCCGTGTTTAAAACTAAGAATTGAATAAAATACAACGCGCAATTCGCACACTCGAACTCTACACAAACTCCACTATTCTCTCCACGCAATATCCCTATCAATTTTGGCTTCTCGCATCCTGACCCAAAGGTCTCAATCCCTTTTCCAACGCCTTTTCCCACGCAGATATTCTGGAAAACCCCCCCACGCCAAATTCACACAGAGTATATGGATCTATTCTCAGGAACGAAACCATGCGCCCATCCGCACTTATCGCCCCGCCAACTCGGAGGTCCTGAAGGGCCTGGGCCTAGACAATTTCATAAACACTACGGCGCCGGACTTTCTATCTCCTCCGCCTCGACATAAACAGTCCAGCAATACCACAATACCGTGTAGGTTTTGTATATAACATTTTTTCATATTATTACAAACAATACTTTCCTAGTGGCTCCCAGTGATGGAATAGGCACAGGTTCGTCCACATAACAAACTCTAAAGAATCAAACTTGCCTATTCCTCGGCTTTAGCAGCCGCTTAGCCCTGGCTCGTAACAATGCAATCACGAGGCTAGTAGGCAATGCACCATTTCGAACCCGCCCACACTCAGGATTCGTCTCTCTATTCCACCTCCCGCAAATCTCATCCCTTCAATATCTCGTTGTAATGTTTTACTCCAAAAAGTGATAGATCTCGCGTGGAATGACTCGGATGGAACCCGGAAAAGTATCGGAGGCGAAAAATTGAAACCGGGGTCTGTCCAGGCCACGAATAGCGATAGAAGCGACGAACACGATCCGGATGATGTATAAATTGCTACATATAAAAATACGGTAACCAATTCGCATCCGGGGCCCGACCGTGACCCAGATTGGACCCGGATCGAACACGACCCGGTTGTGTATAAATGCGCCGTAAGGGGTTATGCTCAGTCAGAAATTTTCAAAAAATCGATTTTTCACTTTCTACATTTTGTTTAAGTACAACATCTCGAAAATATTCTGTGCAAGTTTCAAGGTAATCCAATTAAAAATGACAGAGTTACAGGCGTTAAAAAATGAACATTTTATATAAGTGTAAGCTTGACTTGAAACTTTAAACGCGTTTTTCTCGAAACTACATTTTTCAAATCGGTGATCAATATTTCTCGAAAACTACTGTGTCGATTTACATGAAGCCTTTTGCGTCTTATTTCAAATCAGAAAAACTTGTCCTTGAACGAAGGATTCTTTTCTTCGTTCCATACTTTTTTTTTAATTGACCAACAACGAGTGATTTTTTAGGTGAAAATCGCACTTTTTCAGGAAAACGTCCGCTATTTTGTTCCTAATCAATATTTCGAAAAACCCCACGTTCAAAGACAAGATTGGTTCTTTCATTACATAAATCTTACTGAATTTTTAATTTCAGATGAACCGTTACAAAGTCAATGATCACGGCAGATCACTTTTCGTGAAGAGACATCCGGGAAATCGCTCACTATTTATTTACTAATAAAAATTTGTAAATACAAAAATTACCTTCTAATCTATAAACTACAGTCTTTGAAACACAAGCACATTTTTTGAAAAAGGTCTTATAGTTTTCGAGAAAAAAATTCCCAAAGAACACTCTTTTTTCGGCCTCCTGACTAAGCATGACCCCTTAATTCGCCAAATTCGATCAATACGGCGATCTTTACCCAGATAATATACTGCCAAAGTAGTTGGTAGAATCTCCAGAAGATGCCAGAGAATTATAAACAATAATGAAGATTGGACAACGTATTGACGTGAATGCGTTATAGATGAAGAGTCAGGCTATCTGAATATTGCGGATTTTTTATGATAGTTGCATCTGGGTACAAATGTTCATTATCACTCTCATCCTAGGGTAAATGTCTCAGTTACTGCCAGTGTCCCTTATACTGCTACTTTACTTATCTTACTTAATAAAAACATAATGTATAGAGAATTGTGTACAAAAAATTTTATTATTAAATTGGTTAATACAATTTTACAAACTTTATCATTAAATACATGTATGTACTTGGTATTTAAAAATTAATGTTGAAAAACGAAAGTTCAACTCGAGCGTCAATGATGCGAATACGAAGATAGAAAATGATGGCGCAATCGTGCTAAAGAGTCGTAATGTTACTATTCAACCTATATGTACATATCGTACAAAAGTAATTGTCAAAGTATATAAAAATTACTTTAATTTTTGAGGAGACAGTTACAGGGACACAGGGACTGCTCCCACATTTTAATTATTTATCCATTGATTCGTCATATTTAATGAATAAGACTATTCTTTTTTAATGAAAGTGATGTTAAATAATATTATGTTCCAAACTGTGCAAATTTTTATGTTGAACAACATGTGAAATGATTAAATGGAGTTACGCTACAATCTCAAGGAGGCAGTAATTGGAACATCTACACTAGACAGATTGTCTCTGCTCATATATCTTTTATTTTATAAACTAATGGAAGGGGGTTTTATAAAAACAAAAAGAGAGTCGTAAGAGACGATCGCTTGTTATTACTAAATACAACAACCCGGATAACGGAGATCCTGGTCAATCGCCACCACGTATAGTCGTAATCGGGTTAATCGAGGTCCTACTGCATTTATAATTTCAATATTGAGTAAATATGTAGGTACAATATGTTATATATACGGAGTGGACGAGAATTACTTTTGTAAAGACAGCACTTGTATACATCTAATACAAATTCCACTTTTTTAATGGTTCCTATCATTATCCATAATGAACACGACAATTTTTGTATCCTGCTCTAAATTTAACATTTCATTAATATTCCCTAAATTGTCTTCTGGTCGATTTCAAATGTATTTGTGCCAAGACATTTTGCATTCAGCAGTACACAACCAGAATAGATATCTAACCATTATTTAAGTTGTCTCACTGTATTCCATAAAGTATAATTTATGGAAAGTCGATATTTCACGTGCTCTAACCTACTAATCTAATGCGTTATTCGCTTAATGTTAAAAAATTCGAAAATAACCCATGTAATCTTAGTTCCGATATCACTTTAGAAAATTACACACCGCTACGGTCACACGATATAACCGTAAACATCATTTTGTTGTTGATTTCGAACACGATGCATTTATTATATATACACGCTCTACAGTTTACAAGGACCTAAAGAAGAACGGAGAGTGACGGCCAAATGGGAACACGAACGGCTGTACGTAATTATTCATACTCGGAGCATTCATTTATCTTCGTAACGTTCAAACTGCACATAAAGTACAAACAGCCGTGCACAAACTCCCCCCGTCGCCGGGGTTAAAATAGCAATAAGATTCAGAGCAACGTCCCCATCCTTCCCCCCTCCTCCCTTGGGTAGACGGCTCGGAGCAGCTTTCCAATGAAATCCGTAAAGGATCAATAAATGAGCCCATCTTTTACACACATCTTACGACCGCGAAATCCTTCCTGCCCGTAGCCTTCCAGCTGTGGTGCCACCCTCCATGAGAGGGAGAGAGAGAGAGAGGAAGAGAGCTCCTAAGGCTCTCGCGCGACGTGCGTTTGTAAATATCGTGGTGACTACGTCGACCGCCGGCGGCGGAGCCATGTACGCGTACGCGCGCGACGAAAAGAGGGAGGGATCCGTTATTGATCTTCTCTCCTCGCGTACGTGCTCCCTCTTTCTCACGCTGTCTCACTCCCCCCGGAGAGAAGGTATCGAAGCATCAAAACGATCGCGTTGGTCGGCAGCAGCTAGTCGCGACGAGAGCTCGACGCGTAGTGAAGACGACTACTCTACTAGATGGTTCCGAGCGAGCGGTACGACAGTGGCGGCGGTTCGGGTAGTCTGGCCGGGAAGCGTGGCCAGGTGACGAACAGAACCGAGCGGCGACGATGAGAGTCGAGGACGGCCGAGTTCGTACGTCGGCTGAGTCTCGTCGCTCGAATCTAGTGCTTCAGTGCATGCACAGCGGCCGGCCGGCGTGCATAGTCGGTGATAACGACGTTGCGCTTTCCCCCACCCCCGGCTCCCAGTTTTCTGTTTCACATTTGGGGGAGATCCTTTATATTTCAGTTTTATCGCCGCACACGCTGCGTCCCCGATACTACGAAGAAACCGTGCGCGAACGTAGAAGTCCATACCACTACTGGGAGGCGCGCCCTCGTGCTCGTGGGCCTCGTCGGCACCGGGCCTCGGGGGCCCGGGGGCCCTCCGTTCCCGTGACACACGCGGTTATGGAGCTCCTAGGCTCGTCCCGGTGCGGAACCAGCTACGATATCTGTGCGCGGGCGTTACCCCGTCGTCGTCGTTCACGCGTGCCAGTTAGAAATGCTCGTGCGACACAACAGTCAGGCACTGTACGTACGTTCTCGTAAAAGGTATCGCCGTCCATCGGAGTCAATTCTGCCGCGTGTTTTTTCGTGGATTGACAGTTTCTCTCTTTCTCTCTCTCTCTCTGTCTCTCTTCCCCCCCTTATCTCTCTCTCCTTTGCTGTCGTTATCTGCTATGCCCTGTTCGATCGGAAATTGGGTTATAACCTTTGGGAAGGGGAAACTCCGTTTTATTCGTTTGTCGTCTCCTTTTGTTTTTTTGTTTGTACCGGAAACGTACGAGTGTAACGATACAAGCCCTACCATCGCTGTGGGTTCGGATGAACGAATAATAATTCTGTTTTGATTGACACGTCGATGGTTAGGTTCGCTGTGCTAACCGTGCAATGTGAAGCTCTCTCGCTGTCAACGAAAGAGCTTGGTGAAAAAGCCGTTTGAATACCGCGGACGATCTCGACAGCACTGAATATGATAATAACAACAGTCGTTCTTTTCCGTTTCGTACGAGATTTAATTGTACGCGACTAGCAACACAGCGTTATCGGTACAGCTGAAACAAGCACACAAAACAAGGTCCTTTCTTCTTTTGTTCGTCGCGTACATGCTTTGAGAGTGGCTCTTGTCACGCGGTTATAATTGCTGCTCCATAAGCTGAAGAAGAGTCTTGCTTAAAAATCGAGGTCGTTGGGAAACAAAGAGTACGGCTTTTGTTCTTGCCCATTTTTTATTTCTCTTCCTAGACCGAAATTTTTGAGCGCGGTCACTCCTGTCTTATCGAGTGAGAGAGAGGAAAAGGTGGAGGTGGATCTTATTGTTTACCTGACATATCGGATACCTCGTGCCATTAGCGTTGATGCTAAAGAAAATCGACAACGAGCAGCTATTGAAGAGAAAGTCGCAATCGAAACTTCTTAGTTAGCACGTGAAACACGTGTGCACCGATGTATCGTCAATGCGGAACCAGAGCTGACCGAATCGATTGTCCATTGACGGGTCGAGAGGTTAGGATCGGTTGTTCTCACTGCAGACCAACATTCAAAAGTACAATTTCACCGAAGCGTGAGCAGTGTCTAATCGTCGAGTGTGTTACCGTAAACGCGACGTTAAAATTCAGTACTGTGTACACGCACGTCCACACATGACAACACATCGCGGAGTAACTGTACGGAATCGAAAATTAACGTACAGGCGGGGGGGACTATCCACGGTGAATAGGTAGTACATACCCGCGTCGTCACGATCGAACGCGCTTGTAGATACACGCTGAGCGTCTCTTTAGTCGCGAGCCATCGTCGTACTCTCCTTCTGTCCCATCCACGGTGCACCATCGACGTCGTTAGACGCTATCGCACGTAACTTCACGCCCAATCGATAGTTGTTCCGCGAGAGAGAGAGAGAGAGAGAGAGAGAGAGAGAGAGAGAGAGAGAGAGAGAGAGAGACGCCAGGCGAAGCTCCTTCTCCTCCCTCGACCCTGCGAAATCTTTGGACCTCTTTTCCGACGTGCGTCTGGTCGTGCAGGTGATATGCGGTACCGGGGGATCGTCAATAGACGCGACGCTGGCCTGAATCGTGTGTATGCGAGAGAATCGACCGTCCTGAAGCGCGAGGATACTACTATCGCGGGGCAACGATTTTCAGCGGAAACAGTCACGTTGTCAGGACGATGGATGAAGACCACGATGAAGTAAAAAATCATCGAGAAATAGTTTGGTGAACGGAGACGAGGGGAGGCCTGTTACTAATCGCGATTATCTCCGGTGGAGGCATATTGGTATACACGCGACAGAGGAGAAGAAGACCGGTGGAAAGAGTTTTCACGAAAAAAACTGGCGTCCCAAACACGTGACGATAGCTCTCGCGGGACTCGGACCCGTCGACGGACCAATGGTGGATCCCTGTCCAGCCGAGGCAGCGCCACGGGCATGCAATGCGGTCTGTGCGCCGTCGTCGCGGGACTCTTCCGGCGAGCTATGTGCATCGCGGGCAGCCGACGTGGCTCCGGAGAATCCTGCTACCAGGAGCTCACCACCGAGACCCAGGCACGCCGGCACTCGCAGCTCGCGCCCATCGAGACCGGCCTGAAGGCGGCTGAGATCGCGGAGCACGTTAAAGAGGCTGTTGAAACGCAGGAGGTGAGAGAATTTTACGCCCCACGGGTATAGTTCTGACGAGAGGGTAGCATGCTTTAAGGAGAGGAGTCAGTGTGTGACAGGGCGGAAAAAGAAACGGACTGACTTCGTGGGTAGGCACAGGGTCTTTGGACTGCTCGGCTGAACCGAACCCCTCGCTCGATTAATCAAGTGCTTATTCGGTAATATTTGTGGCTGTTTAACCACCACTTTTTTTGTTATCACTTGTAAGAAGACAAAGAGCCATTAAAATTAGCTATTTAATTGATTCAACGATGTGACAAACGCGCAGACTATTTTCTTTTTTTAAATACGTTTGGGGTTGTAAGACCCAGTCTCGACGTCGTGGTGCACGTTTGATACGGCCGTGCGCCTATTAGCAACAGGCTGTTACCCGTCGAATTAGTCTCGGGCAACTGTGTGAAAATAGTAGAGGGTCATTCCACGCAAAATCGGACACTTTTTGGAGTAACATTTCGGATTTTGTTGCCACGTGGATATGTTGTAATCTTTAGTAATATATAAACGTATTTCAAAGAGAATACGAACATTTTTTAAATTGCCGATTTTGCAGCTGTTTGAAATATAGCGTCAACGTTTTTCAAGAAATCATAACTGTTGAACTAACAAACTGATCAAAATTAGCTTTGTGGGTGCTTACAACGGACACACAAGAGTATCTAACAAAAAGTATTTCAATTTAAAAAAATATTTTTTAACCGTGTATTTTTCAATTGGGTAATTGCGCAGTTTAGCGGCTTTTATCAATTTTAGCTATTTCCTACGATTTTTGTTTATAGCTCCATTTAATCTCTAAAACGGAAAATCAAGCGGTGGAAGTCGAAAAAATAATGTACATTTGTTACTTGACATAAAAAAGCATGGGAAATTATTCAGATTTATACACTCAACACCAATTCAATGACCTTTGGATATGTTATGGAACTCAACGTTTTGAACAACTTTTTCTTCTACTTGTTAGCACCGTTTGAGCTTAGTTTCCGAGATATTTATAGCTAAAATTGAGAAAAGCCGCTAAACTGCACAATTACCACATAATGTTTATCAGAAGTTACAAGATCATACGTGTGGCACTCAGCAATACAGAAACGGTAAAGTTTCGAGATACGCGAACATAACAGTAAATCTAAAATTTTAGAAGGTAGTCTTAAATTTTTGTTCAATGTATGGTTTAAGAATGTGACATCTTCCAAACTATTCATCAGAAACTAACCTAGAATCGGGGTACCTTCATTGTGTCGTAAGTAAAAGTTACAGGGTCTTATGGTTTCGTTGTTTTATTTGTAGTTACTCATTTCAAAAATATAATTCAACTGTATCGTATGGCATTTAAGTCTTTGGTTTGACATTTAACTGACACCTCTGCGGGACGCGTACACCTACTTGAATTACCGCGTAGAGAGGACGAACGAGTTTAGCCAGACGATGATAATAGCGAATATGTCTTTTATAATCACGTTGACATGAAGTGAAAATTGCCGAAAGTATATAAGACACAGATTTTCATGCTATTATATTATTGCTTTCTGTACCTACTGCTCTAATAATAAGTCTGTGTTATCATTTTCACTCAGATAGAATCTTTAATAACTATAGGACTGAAGGCTTTTCGAAGTAGGGGAAATATATAAATTATGTGCCTACGTATACTTATAAACAAGCCATGCTTTCTTTTATAGTGCGACGTTTTACCATTGCATTAACATCTCAACTGCGGCATTTCATTATAGAAATCGACAATAAAATGTCAATTACAAATTTTCCATCTGTTCAAAATAATTTCTTATTTTTCGTTGTATTTTCAAAAGAGTTTTTTTAACTTATGCCACACTTTACCAATAGACTGGTTAATTTCGCTAGTGAAAGTCAATACAAATGATCATTTCCACCGAACATTTTCCAATGATATGTAACATACGTTTTACAGGAAATATATCTCTGATGGGCTGGCAAAAGAGTATAAGTCAGTATTATTAGTTTTGTAGAGAAGCACTTATAATATTTAATGTGCAATGTAAGATTAGGTGTTATATTTTGGACGTGAAAGTTGATAACATGTAATAGTGAAATTGACTTGTACTATTAAAACAATAAGTAAAGGACATCAGTGTACAATATATTAGCGTGCTTCTCCTGTTATTACTAAAATTTGACTTACACTCTTTTGCCCATCCACCACAGACATATAATTGAGAACTATGTTAATAGTCTCAAATTACATAAAATTAAAAATATTATTCTGTTTATATACAACATACTCTGTATTAATAGAATAAAAAGCAAAGAAGACCCCCTAGCTCTGAGTAAGTTATGAAGCTCAAGTTGCACACCCTAAAATTAATAGATTTTTTCTGACACGTATAGAAGATTTCAACATTTAATGGATTATTTATTGCGAAAATATAAGCTTAAGTTACATATGCGTTCCATAACGTTTGTATGCGCGATGTTTCGTTACATGCAAATCGTCAATGAGCAATCGAAGACTCCTCGGCACTGACAAGGAGAGGCCTCCAGGTGCAACGCTGGCTCTTTAATGAGGTTCGGCACAGTGACAGAGCTTGGAAATCTGAAGCCAAATATTTGTTTCAGTCGTATATGGTCAATTTATGAAATATTTAATGTTCAGTGTTGAGGAGCCTTTGAACTTTCATCGAGGATTTACTGTATACTCGCTAAATCGTATCTTGGATACCTGATTTCAACGCAAGGAGTTAATGTCTAGTTTTTATTTTTAAAAAGTTTTGTTTTTATTATTATTCTGTAGAAATTAAAAAGACATTCATACTTGCGAGCGTCCAGGTAAATTGTTTTCTTGAAAAGTAGTACAGAAAATATTGATGGGTTCTGTTCGTCTACCTCCTGCTTGAGTATGCGCGTTAAGATCATTATTATTGCCCGACAGAGCAGTATGTACCTACTTCATTTCAAAAGTGCAGAGAATTAAGGACACAAAACCACATTGCCTGTATTTCGAAATTGTTGTCGGTCGTAATTATTTTACTTTTTAATCCTCGCACGTCTGGGAGTGACACAACAGATGGAAGCAAGAATATCATTGGGTTGGCGAAAAAGTTCGTGCGGTTTTCAAGTTGACTGACATGGTCAGGCTGATGGAAACGGTTTTCTACGTTTGATTTCGATACTTGGAGTGCGATTTTCGTGTGATTTTCCGCATTATGTATTGAATATTATTGTCGGTTAAATAATAAATGTTCAGAAAAATATACCGAAATGCTCCTTTTGGATATCCATTTTTAAAATTATATCAAAGTAATAAAACGCACCCAATCTTTAAACTGTTTGGTTAAAGTGTACGGTCGAATGTTAGTTATCGAAGAACCGTATAATTTCAAGATATGAACTAAAGGTAGTTGCGTTTCTGAGCTGATGAAGACAATTATTGCTAAAAACCGTACGAAGTTTTTGGCCAATATGATATTTTGGCCCTCGAAAAAACGTTATCATACGCGGTTTTAAAGAAGGTACTACGTACAGAAATGTGAAGATGTATGGTTGAAAACTGTCGAAATTCGATATGAAAGAATTGGACCCTACTGGTTTGACCATGAGTATTGGTCCTACTACAAATTTCATTCGAATGATCTACACACACCAGTGTCATGTATCGATTAATACGTCTAATTCTGTTATAGGAGTACATATACTAATTCAGATGTGCACAGATCAAACTTTCATCTTTTAATACCTCTTTAAATCTATCCTTTTGCGTTCAAAATTTCTTAGTTTCGATGTAATTCGTACAGAAAATAGTTTCGTTTATTATATTGCATTTCATTACGAGTAAACATTGAATGTACATAGACCTTTAAATGTTCTCATTATTACAACATAAATTCAGCAGTTACGTCGACTAGGTTAAATAATCCTGCGCATTTATCGAATGAATACTAAATTTATATCTTTTTGATATGGTTTAACTACTAATTTAGTTTATCGAATAGAGAAACCGCTTAATTTTGTGAGTGTATTGTTTTAATATTTCAATTTATGAATGCAGTATCGGAAATTGATTAAATTCAATCCAATTTACAATATAGTCACAATCGTTTCTCTAATTGCGGCATCCATCGGTCGATGATTTTCTATGAGTAGCCCATTCAATAGCTACGCTGTCTGGCATAACATCGCTACTGGGACATCCACTCATTTCTTCATCAGTTAACGACACTCGACCTGATTTAAAATTCACAGCACCAGCAATGAGCAATTGCTTGGGAAGGACATTGTTTAATAAACATTGCCTTCAGCTTCGCTGATTATTACCTGCTGTTGCAGTTCCAAAAATTCACATTAACATTTCCTCATTTTACTACGTACATGGATAAATAATAAAAAGAAGGAAAGTATCAATCATGAATAAAATACTTGAAACTACCATAATCAATAAAATATCATTAATCAATACGCAAAAGCATTAAATTGTAAATAAAACTATCAGGCTTTTACGACTTGTACAAATTTTAAGAAGTAATTTTTTCTAAATTGGAAAATCGCAATCATTGTGCAATAAAAACTTATAGAATCTACTAATGATATCGGTGATGCAAGTCGTGACTGCTACAATTGTAGAAACTGTTTCTGCGACAGAAGTTTACATGCTACCATTTATAGCTTGTATATTCACTAATAGTATCTATTATTAAAGATAAAGGAATATCTGTATTTTGTGGAAGTATTGGTAAACCGAAATCTAAAATTTTTTGGATATTATTGTGCGTTCAAAGTTTCGTTAAAAAATAAGGATCACGAATCCATTTATTAAATATGCTACACCAGACATTAATTATGCGTCGTATTCGGTTATTAGTATTTTATCGCGAATGAGAATTTTCTACAGACAATGCGTGTTCATTATGACAATCGAGAATTCCATTGTTAGAAAATGTTGCCTTGTCGGTTCACAAAATTTCAAAAACGAAATGTTCATCTTATTGCGTATGTACATCTTCAGAAATACTGACAATAGTTCATCCGACGAATTTTTCCCTCATTCCTCATACAATAGAAAATCGATAAGAACGAAGTATCTGCATTTCTAGAATCTAGTAAGCAAACGATTTTGAAACGCCACATTTCTTGGAAATATCTCGAAGGGACGCATGAAAATTGGTTTTTACATACGCCAGCATAACATATTCTTCGTTATGTGAAATTGATTTTGATACAATCCTTCTTTGGTTCATACAACGTAGCTGTTTGCGCATAAATTCAATTCTAATTTGCAGAAGTACGTTCGTGTTGGCTCTTTTCGGTCAAAGAGGATTCTTTGTACAGTTTTGCAGTATCATAAGCATTCTGATTGCAATTTACTAAACACAAAAAACATATCTACATTTTTGCTTTGTGTAAATACCATGATTGTCTAATACTGAATGAAGCTGTACCGACGACAAGGTGTCTTACACTGGTTGATATCAG